TTCATTTGTATTTTGTCTGATCGTGAGTTCGGTTCACGGGGGTCACCGGGTGTGCGTTCGTTTCACGCGTTCGTAGGGGACGTTCTCACCGACCCCGTCGGTGGAGCTCGTTCACATTTTGGACAGAAGGCAGAGTAGCGGTTCCTACGGACCCGGTTCTCTGTCTCCCGTTCCCATGGGCGTGGAGGCATGCAAAACCCATGGCACGGCCCTGGAGGGTCAAGGTGGGAACGAACACTGCAGGATCAAGAGGGGGATCGTCAGGCATCACAGGTATCTATAATAGACGCGGCGTTATGTACGCGTAGAATTGGTCTGCAGTGGGGACTTGATAAATGCTCGCTACTTAGAGAACATAGGTCATCAGTAGAACGCGGATTTTTACGGATTTACGGGAAATTTGAAAGTGCAAATATAAAATATAATAGTAATAAATAAAGTGGAATTATGAATATATGAAATATCTAAAGTATAGTGTTTTTCATAGTGTTTCCTAAGAAAGATGTTTGATTCATAAAGATCAGATTGATGCATAAAGATCCGCACAGTCGTCAGTTTCTCCGTGTCCGAATCCTCATTTGGATCACACTAGACTATCAAGCTTTGAGGATAACTAGCGAGCATTTAATAAGTCCCAACAGTAGTGCCAGTAGGGACCACAGTAGTGATAGAAGCTTACTTGAACATGGCGCATTAATTAAAACTCGCTTCGCAATATATTGTTCGGTGTGCGTTACTTTGAATTCTTTCATAGAATACCTAGAAATTCTAGGGATCCATTAAATGCTCGTTATCAATCAATAATCAGTTAATATTAAATCAACGATTAACATCTTTATATCGAGATTCTCGTTTAAATAACACAATTTTATACATGCACTTGAAACTAAATGGAACAGCTAGCGAACATTTAAAGGATCCACGCAGTATCATTAGAAGCTTCGCTTAACTATCGCAAATTGATCGCAGCTTAGACGAAAGTGTTCGATGTTAGTTACTTTGTACATTCTCATAGAACTAGTTACTATGCGGACTCATTAAATGCTCCTTACTTTTCAGTGTGAGCATTTAACGAGTCTCCGCTAAAAGTTTTACTCAAACAATACAATATTTTTCAACTTCTGTCACCTCTGTATGTTACGACCTCCACACGGTCGTAACTAGCTTTAACAAAAATCATCACCAGTTTCGTGAGTCGTCGAACACCCTCTCCGATTATGCTTTCAAACGTTTGCGCAGCTTCAATGACACGGGCGACCGCGCGCTAACCACCCTCGCCAGGCAACCGGCCTATCCCTCGATGCCACTGCGCCCCGAGGACTGTCGGATGACCTTGGTGAAGAAGGACAGGAGGTCCTCGATCGCTCGCCACGGATCCGTGACCACTGAGAAAGAGCTAAGCGGTTGCACGACCGGATTGGTCGTTTGCAGTCCAACGTACAGCATGTACAGCTCGGCCGTGAAGAACTCGAACTATTTCGTGACCGACGACGAGGCGGTCAGCAGGTTTTGAAGACGTCATCACGTATAGTGGCTGGAAGGAATGCAGTGACTAACTTTTGGGGACTGTGTCAGTGGTTCTCAGCTGCCTCGGGGTCTTTTGCATGTTGTAGTGTGCGTTTCTAATGGTAGTACACTATATATCGGTATATATTGGTATATATTGTCAGTATATACCTGTTTGTATATCAGTATACATTTGAACATATTAACCCTTTGCACTCAAAGGTTTTTCGGTTGAAATAGTAAACGTTCTCTGATCAGATGTAGACAATGTTTGTAGAAACTATTTTAATGATAGTTCAGATGTAAATTAGGGAACAAAGCTATTTTATTTCTATATTCCATATAGTTATGCATTATGGAAAGTTTAATATTAAATATTGAATATTACAAATTAAATATTAAACCTTCATAATTCGACTGTATCAAATGAAGTTGTCAGTGAAATTCACTCGAGCGCAAAGGGTTAATATACCTGTATCTTATTATGATCTGTATTTTATTATGCAAAATACGCCAGGTAGTTGTTTAAAAGCTACAATATCTATTTACATTGGAATAATTGAAGTTTGTTGATCGGGTTGGGTCAGTACAGGCGAAGAAAACATCATTAGCGTGCTTCCCCTTTTGTAATATTCGATTAATGTGAATCCTACTTTCTCAAACCTATGCAATCATCGCATACATTTGTTTGGAGCTACTGACTCGGCTCATTGAAAGCACTGAAGTACTAAAAATCAGTCAATTTTGATCAGATACTGAAACATCGACGAAAAACCAACGTCATTTTAAGAAGTCACTGTATTTTTTCCAGTAGTTATACAAGGACCACGAACTGAGGACAATCGAATCCCGCCTGATCAGTTACGAGCCCGAGCCCTTTTTCTACTTCCTCTTCAACTATCGTACAACTCTACCACTGCCCGTTATACGATTTTCTAGAGTCCCTGTTTTTCTACGAAAGATTTTAAACCAACATTGGAATATTCTCGACCACGGAATTATTCGATTCTCGGACTACTAGAGTATTAGTCCTACTTTTTTTATTTCACTCGTCGGAGAATCCCAAAGGACTTTCGAAAAATTTACAAGAAACGCGTAATGTACTTTCCAAACGATCTCAAGCGTCTCGCGTAAATGGCGGACTTGTACCATTAGATTCATCAACACTCAAAAACATTTTTATTTCAGTACCTTGGCCGAAAATGATTCGCATTTCTCTTAAGACCATATACATACAATTAACCCATATTTCTTCTTAGACAGAGAGGAATCATTTTCTAACCAAGTCGATTCATTTTCATCTAAGATCCGTAGTCCATTTTCATCCTCGAAGATCTAGAATTCTTTAAAACCTACACTAGCGTAAGATTAACTTCACTTAGCCGTGGATCAGAACACTCACAGTCGTTACGAGTCACCGTGTAAAGTAATTTAGCGAATTGTCAGCGCAACATTCCATGGATTCGTGATCAATGAACACCGCTAGTCATTGTACTTACAGTTAATTCACTCGAGAGCGGCTATTTGTACTTTGTATACCGGGTGAACGTCGAAATTACGGTGAGATCACCGAGACGAAGCTGTCGTGCGTTCACCCGGCGGAACGCGACGCGGACAAGTCAATCAAGTTAATTGGGAACCTGTGCTCCGAGTCACGATAATAGTCTTTCACCCTGGTTCCCGGTAACTGCACGATTCTCGTGTGCTTCTGTAGGCTACCCGAGGCTGCGTCCCTTCGGTTCTTTGTCGCGCCGATGCCTGAATCTATTTTTACTCGAAACGAGCGAATTTTCGATGTTTCTATACATGAAAATTGTTAGGGATTAGTTTGCGAAATTTGAAAAGAAGAGCCGATAAAAGGGTCTTGAACAAGCTTGATGATACGATTAGAAAGAAAGAAACGCAAGTATCGGCGATTCTAGCGAGCAAAGATCAACCGGTCGTATTGCATTCTCATGGAACCGAACCTGTTTTTCTACTAAGCACAATTCATCGCCTGATCTGATGGATCTCTCCCTACTTCGAGTCAAAAGGAAAATTTACGAAGAAGTTCAATTGAGAAGGTTATTTTCTAGAAATCGATGGAGCGAAAGGATTCCATTGCCAGATCAACGATCTGTTCGAAGGGAGGCAGCGCTCGATCAATAGTTTTCGTTAGACCGACCCCGCTCAGACTGACTCGCGGACCCAATGAACCCGACTCGACGTTCGTGCGGTGATTAATTTTTGTACAAATAACGAGCAGACGCGATGATACCCGTTTTTTCCGCGTGTTGCTCCGTGTAGATAGGACGATCGATTCGCGGGAATAGATCGAGGACCTTTGGCCAGTTTCGTCGTTGCACACGATAACGATACCTTTACCGGGCACGACTTAAGCACTAGGTAATTATGTACGGGATAGATTAGGTGATTAGATCGTGTGAAAA